TGGGGCTCCCTGTCCCCTCGGCCTGCCTCGCTCTGCCCCGTCTTCTCCATCAGCTCCTCTCCCCGTGGGAGTTCACCTGTTACCTCTCTCTCAAGCACTGTCTTTGTCCTCTTCTTACTTTGTCTTTTCCCCCAGAGAACCCACGTACTCTCAGAAACTTCCAGAGAGAGGATTCCCAAATCCACCTCCCTCGTCCTTGACCCAGCCCTGATAAGCCCTGAGCTCTAGACCAGGTTTTCAGTGTGCACCCCAAGCCCCAGCCCCCCAGACTCAGCACAGCTTCTTTCCTCCACTGGAATCAATGATGTCACCATGTTCCTCATCAACTGTGCGGGAAATGTGGGCATCATCCCTCCTATCCAACTTGCCAGCCAGGCCATCTCACCAGGTTAGACCCTCATCATCCTCTTGAACCTGGCCGGCCTACTCCCAGCTGATCTCTCTGCCCCCTCCCAACCTTCCTCTAAGCCACCAATAATTATTGATCCAACAGTGTTTGTGGCATGCTTACTTCATGCTAAGACTATTTTTCTATCTCTAATCAGTCCCCAAATTTTATCTTTACAAAGTGCAGATACATTCAACTTAGTTCCCTGCCCAAAAGGCTTTAGCGAACTCTCTACTCCCCTCAGGATCAACTCCAGGATGCCATTTGTCCAGGAGTGGCCTCAGTGGACCCTTTTCCAGGAGTGACCTCAGTGGACCCTTCTATCTCCTCTCCTGGGAGAGCATAGAGAACCTGCTTCCCATTGTGAAGAAGGCCATCCTGGGAGCCACTGGGCACCACAGCCCTGCCTGGCATGATGCTACTAGAGCATCCACTGGGGAAAATCTGCCTGACCACACAAGGGAAGTAGGCAGCAGGCCCCGAGGAGCCAACGTCCTAACAGCAAGAGTTGAATCCTGGTGTGCCTTTTCAATGGTTAGTTTGAGGTTATGAGAAATTCATGGTCAGAGAGTGAGAGGTTAGAAGAGGGTGCAAGGAAGGGGGCAGGTTGCTGTTGCTGCTGGCAGGGGTGGTTCAGGGAAAGGGAAGGGAAGGGACCAGCTGGACCATTTCCAGGGCCTGTGCTCTGGGCCTCCACAGGCCTTCCCACTGCCCCTCCTGGTCAGTCCTGTGAATGGTCCCTCCAGAAGAACTCAGCCTCCCTGCCTCAGCCTGCCCCTTGCTGGGTGGCAGTTAGAAAGACACCCTTTAAGTCCCCCAAGGCTGTTTCTGCATCTCTCAGGGCATATCCTAGAAGGGGAGGGATTGGCCTCAACAGTGCCAGGGCCCCTAAACACACAGATGACCCTGACATCTCAAACTTCGGCACAAAGGTCTACACACTCTTTCTACACAAAGTAGGGGAAGATGGTGCGTTTAGTAAGAGTCAGAGACAGCAGGAAAGATACCCGTCAAATCTCTTCCCTGCCACTTACCAGCTATGTGGCCTCCGACGTAGAAGTATTGACAAATTACCTAACTGTGCCCTGGTTTTCCCATCTGAAAAATAGATGCAATCATAATACCTCAAAATGTTTCTGGGATAATTTCACAGTAATGGCACTTTGTTCTTTAGTTGAGCACTTATTATATGCCAGGCAGTACTTTGAATGTTTTTTATATATTAACTCATCTACATGAAGATAATTTTGTGCAGGGTATATAACAAGGGCTTTGGTAGATGTTAGTTGCCCTCCAGATAACTATCATTATTATGAGAGAAATAGGTGTTGAGTTTGTTGTCTCACTATCTCTCCTTATCCCAAGTTGAAGCTAATCTCATCCAATGGATGGATTAGAGACAGAGAGAAGGCTATTGACAGATGGGATTGGCCAAGTGTGTGACTGGAACGTGCCCAGGGTCTTGCCACCCATATCTCTTGTCTCATATGCATCCCTGCATCCTAAAAAGTGGGTATTTGCTTTGTGGCCAGGGCTGTCTCAGCTTCGATTAGCCAACAGTAACAGAGCAGAACTAGCCAACCCAGCCATTGAGCAAAATCTTGGAAGGAGGAATAAAGAAAAAAGACTATACCATAGTCTGTAGTATGTGGGATCCACTCACTTGAAGCAAAACTAAATTCATCTTAGCAAAGAGGTCCCACTGTTTAGAAATGACCTATCAGGGGCGGCGCCTGTGGCTCAAAGGAGTGGGGCACATATGCCGGAGGTGGTGGGTTCAAACCCAGCCCTGGGCAAAAACTGCAAAAAAAGACAAAGAGAGAGAGAGAGAAATGACCTATCAGTCCCAGAAAACAGCTTCCGCTTCACCTTATAATCCCGCCAGGGGGTGCTATGGTTCAATCTTGGGTTTGTGTGTTCCCAGAATTCTCGCTAGAACAAGCTTTGCCATAGCACATTAAAGCAGGTGGGTTAGACTAAGTGGTGCCCAATAATTTTAGATATAATAAAGCCCATCTCTTTAGTTAGCCCCCTAACACTACAGTTTATAGTCACAGGAAGGATATAATACATGCTCAGAAAGAAGAACTAGACGAGAGGAAACAGTTGAAACTGGGTGTCAAGGGTTCCAGTGAACAGATAAATTCACCCTCCAGTCTAAAACTTGAAAATAGTCACCATTGACTATCATCACTCAGAGGCCCCCCAAATAAGAAAACACTTTGGGGTCAGATGTCCTGTTTCTTCTGACTCACACCCTGAGAAATTGTTTTTCTACCTGGAAGCAAACCAAAATCTGGAGAACCCTGGATCCTCATTCCTGCTGAGGTCTTCTAAGAACAGAGATGATACTTTTTTCCCTTAAAAAATAGACTAAAACTTGTTTGATTTTTTTATCACCATATAGATTTGTTGGGTCCTCTTCTAAATCCAAGATACATTATGGGCTCTTAGGAATTTTAGTTTTCCTAAATCTTGAAGCATTTTACTATTTCATTACTCAAGGAATTATTTCCTCATTACTCTTTAATTGTTAAGTAATAAGAACATAGATGAATAATGGAATTGCTTAGAAGAAAAAAGAAATATTGAAATAAATAGTAATAATTCTAGCACCCAAAATTTTGTATTATCCTTCAAGAAGGTATATTTAAAAAAAAAACTGGAGGCATTGCCTTTGTCAACTGTTCTAAGTTTTCATTGAGTGCAGTGAAGAATTCAGAATTTTTCATTTTCTACTTACTATGAGAAATAGAAGAAATTTAACAAAGGAAGATGCTTCCCAATAATTAGATGAAACAAAATAGGAACGCTAAGAGACAGGGCGCAGGATGCCAGGTACTAATAACACTGGTAAAATTGACTATGAGTCTTCAGATCATGATATCCTAGATGGATGTCTCAAATTTAAGAATCAAGGAGTTAGTAATATAATTCTAAGGACAAAAATAAAACACAGTGCTCTCACCCACTTCAGCAGGAAGGATTTCATCCCATATTTTCAGCAAGAACTTAGACCATCTTGTTTTACTAGAAAGACATGATGGTACCTTTCATCTTTCATGAGGTTTATATAACAAAATCTAGGCTCGGCGCCTGTGGCTCAAGTGGCTAAGGTGCCAGCCACATACACCTAAGGTGGCGGGTTCGAATCCCCAGCCCGGGCCCGCCAAACAACAATGATGGCTGCAACCAAAAAATGGCCAGGCGTTGTGGCGGACGCCTGTAGTCCCAGCTACTTGGGAGGCTGAGGCAGGAGACTCGCTTGAGCCCAGGAGTTGGAGGTTGCTGTGAGCGTGATGCCATGGCACTCTACCCAGGGGGATAGCTTGAGGCTCTGTCTCAAAAAAACAAAACAAAACAAAATCTACTTGATACAAAGTGGTCTGCTATATTTAATCCTTGCTAAAATTTCTAATATAGTTGCTTTCGTGACCCCCCTTTTTTTATTTCCTTGTATGGGGAGGATTGAGGCATTTCATAAAGTTTTTACATTATTTTTAAATGCAGGCTACCAGGTACAACAGTCACAGTTCAGAGATTTACATTTCTTTGATAGGACAGATAGTCCAGTGAATGTCAGAGAAGTGATTCACCTGCCTCCACAACTTGGACATGACCATGGACCTCCACTTGCCTGGCTTCATGTTACTGATGACTTAGGAAGAGGGTCATGGAACCCCTGTGGCCACATACCCCTGAGAGTAAAGAAGAAATTCGCAAGAGAAACAGGAAGCCAGAGATTCCATCAACAGAGACAGCCGGCCAGGGAACATCCCTGCCTCATTGCTGAAATGCCATCCCTGCTCCCACACTCAAGGACATGCTGACAGACATGCCCAGGAGAGCCCGCTGTTCAACAGGCTGCCATTGTCCACAGTCCAGGTGACACCAGGCAATCCCCATCACCAGGCCTCACGTACCTTGCTTAGTCACGCAGCTGTCAAAGTGAGGATCTGGATCCAACGCTGAAACCCTGAGCTCTTAGTCTTGACAGTCCCCTCCCCAGCAAGAAACAGAACACTCCAGTGGTTTCTGGTTGTGCTATGCCCACACTTGCTGAATATTCGCTTTTGCATGGATTATAGAGACCAACTTATATTCTTTCAACAGTCAACCATACAGTTGGAGACGACTCAAACTACCTTTTGGGGAATGAGGGTAAATTACATATAGAGAGGTTTCCACTTGTTTGTGGAAATAGAGACAGGGTGATCTCTGCCACTTTAAGTCAGTGCCCGAGATAGTCAAGCTGTCCGATGGCTCAGCCACAAAAAGCCACAGAGAGATCTCTCAAGACCTAGATCCTCTCCAAGGGATGTGATGCCTTTCCGTCTGGACTCAGCCATAGCCACAAATCTTATGAAGTAAGAAATGAATCTACAAAGTGTCCCCAAGGTTGCCCGAAAAGTCGCCATACGTAGAAAAGACAGAAAATTGCAGCTAAAATAGTCTACAAAATATTTATGAAATATTCCCTGTGTGTCTTCCACCTCTTTGTAAAGTTTTGCAATGAATATTTTATAAGTAAAGGTACATTGAGCTATAATTTCCCACTTCCCTTATGTGAGTGAGACAGCTTTATGGGTGAACTTTGGGACATGCTTATGTATTTATTGCTCTCATGGAAAAAAAATAAACTAAAAAGAGTCTGAACATAAAAATAAACATGGTCTCATCAAGCCTGCCCATCCCTACCAGGCAGGCTACTCCATGATGTGGAAGAGAGACCTTCGGGCAGAACTTGGGCAGACCTTCATTGAAGACTTAACTACGTCTTTATCAGTTTTCACAGACACTACTAGGTCTAACTATGATAACCATGTGTTATCTCATTTAATCCTACCTCCATCCCATCATCCACACTTACTGGTGAGAACACTGAGGCACAGACATTATAAACATGAACAAAGACACTCTGACTCTAATTTCCCTGCCCCCAGTTTTGACTACCATCCTCTACTGCCTCCTGTCACAGCCAATGCCTGCTACCTGCCCAGTATTCCCAGTTCTTGTTGGTATTAGGAAGATGGTCTGTGCCATCCTTCTTTCACTGACCCACCAAAGGTGAGTCTTCAATAGGAAGTCGTTGAGCAGCATTGACCAAGACTGTGCCACATCCCTTTTCTATTTGTCTTGCTGTACCATTCAAGATAAGACCATTTTGATCCTCATGGTTCTCTCCTTTAAGAAGGCAGGAAGTGCTCCCCTGCTATGCGTCCCACATAGGCTATTTCATCCTCTTATGCCCTACAGTCTGCATCATCCTCAGAGGGGCCTAAGGATGGGAGCCTCATTTGAACCTCACTGTGGAATCTTATTGTCCCCCAGGGAATGGCCAGTGTGAGGGTGGCACAGGGATGGACATCAAGCTGGTGTGCTCCCTGCTGAACATGCGGATTCAAGACACGTCCAAGAATGAGCTCCCCCGAGATGTGTCTACAGCCTGCCTCACCTGGCTCTCTCCAGAACTAGACTCAGAAGGCAAACAAAACCCAAATCTGAGCCGAGAGCTGTGCACACACCTGCTCTTCATCCTTTGGCTCCCAAAGACAAATACCACCCTACCACCAAAGGCAGTCAGCACTTCCAAATCTTCACTGAAGGAAGTCTTTTCTCCTAAAGTGTCAAGGGCATAGACAGGAAAGTAGGAACTAGGAAGAGTCTCCCTTCAGGACACCACTCTGACCAGATCCCACATTCAGGCAACAGGGAGGACAGGAGTATATGGTGGCTTAGGGACAGTGGCTACATCAACCTAAGTCTGTATCTGTTTCTTTTAAGTTCCCTACAGCAGTGCTGGGAGTAACAGGCAAATGGTCCTCTCTCCGTTCTGCCAGGCCACTGCCGTACCTGCTCCAGACCTGCAACCTCCTCTGAGGACTGCTTTTCCTGATGGCTTGCTCACATCTCTCTTACCATATGTCCCATGCTCCAGAACTTCTCATACTTGTCATTGTGCCTGTGTAATCACTGATAGGTTTATCTCCCCAATAGGACATTAAGTCCCCAAAGGCAGAGGACTTGTTCCCCTGTAGGACTACTTTTTGCCAAATGAGGAGGCTAGGATGTTGAGGCCATACTGAGATTTCAGTGTTAAAAGTTCAAAGTCAGCAATCTGTTTATGAAAAATTCTTTCATATCAACAAGTCAAATTTACGACATAGCTAAGAGGCATTTGGGAAAATGTTAGAAACTTAAATTCACTTGATAATAAACAAAAACAGACACCACTTAAATATACATACATATAAATGTGTGTATACACATACATATCTCCTGTCACCTTCTTGTAAATTCTTAGCAAAGTTTCCATAGTTACATCGCAAACATGTGTTTTCTCTAAATCTGCAAATTCCTAAGCCTCACCCCAAGTCAGGGTATCAAGGGAGGGAAGTGAGTCCAAAGACCTGCATCAAATGAAATCCTCTAACTGATGCTGATGTGCTCTGAAGTTTAAGGCAGACACAAAATAAAATTGAAAAAGAACATCATTATATAACTACGTGGCCCGGTGACACCACAGTGGAAAGAAACTTCTATTGCCTTTGTATTTCTAGATGGGACACAAATCATGCTTTCATGCAGTTCATACACCATTTGTTAAAATTCTGTGAGGCAGTTTGTTCTTGAGACATAAATAACTGTATCTCCATGTCGGGTTAAAAAATAAATCATAAACTAATACATGAAAAAGTACTTACTAGGTGTTGTGAGATCTGATTCAGACTCTGCAAAGGAATAAAAGGAAAATCAGACATGTGTGTTTCACCCACAGGGATCTGATCAAGAAACCGACCTCTGAACCAGTACGGCTGATAGTTAAGCACAGACGCAGCTACCATGCATAACTCTCCATCAACCCATCTGTAAAGTTTGTGAAATTTAATTCAAATTGGTGAAGATTTATTTCTTGAGTCTTTTGTATATACAAAGTAAAATGCTAAACTAGTGGTGTTTAAAAATGTAATACTCTGTAATCAGCTCTGCATTTGTTTCTGTATATTTTTTGCCGTAGATATTTAGTTATTGTAAAAAAAACCAAATCGACCTCTCATCAGTATTGAAAAGCTAATTAGGCTTGAAATAAGAAATAAGAAAAACAACAGGTCAAAAATGTGAGACCTGTTGTTTTTCTTACTTCTTTGAGGATATTTAGCCTAACTAGCATGTATTTACGAGCCTCCGGCGTGGAAGTTGAAGACTTTGAATGAATTTACTAGTTCTCAGCTGAGTGAATGGAATTACTAAAAGCACAGATTAGCAATTACTTGGTCATTTAGTTCATTAAAGTCAAGCAATATGTTGACAGAAACAGTAGAAGATGACATGCCTTTCCTTTCCCATAAAAGGACAGGATGCTTATTTACTGAGACTCACTACATTTCATAAAGTTATTGGGAGAATTAAATGGAAAAACGTAAATGAAATTCTCATCCTTCTAACTGGGGCCCATCATCAGCATGCAATAGATGTTAGGTGCCACAGTAATAAAATCATGATGACACCATCTCTGCCACTCCTTGTGTGAAGCATTTCACCTACATTATTTCATTTACTTGTTAAGGTAGACCGCAAGGGTAGGGTTTGTCCCCTTGCTAATAGAAAAGAAAACTGAAGCACTTAGAGGCATGTTCCAAGTTATTGCTGTTATGTCCATGTTCCTGGGGAAACCCTGGTTTAGAGGGAATAGGAAGAGTTCCTCTTATGACTCTGCTACATAATTGACATTATCTCTTTGAGACCCACCTGAGCAGATGACACTGGCGTCCTCATTGTGTCCGCAGTTATGGGACAGCCAGCCGTTGTGGGGGCAGTTCCACAGGTGGGACTCATATCCTGAGCAGCGCACATCATCCAGGACAATAGACCCTGAGCCCACGCCGAAGCGGGCATTTCCTGGGGCTGACACGGCCCAGCCACAGCCCAGCTGCCTACAGACCACAGTGCCGTCATTGGTGTCCCAGAAGTCATCACACACAGTGCCCCAGGCGCCTTGGTACAGGACCTCTACCCGGCCCTGACACCGGTCACTTCCATTCACTAGCCTCAGGGCCAAATCTAGAAAGAGGCACAAAGATTTCACTGCCCTGTCCCTTGTACAGGATAAGGTCTTGGGCTTTGGTGAGACCCAGAGCCCCACACAAATAAGCAAGGACCCTGAAAAGAGCTGACATTCTGAAACACAGATTCCTCAGCATACTTTAGCATTTGAACTTATTAATAAGCTCATCAGTCCTGACTCCGCAGTAGCATCTGGCCAATCTTATGTCTTGAGGGGCATAATTTGTGGCAATGTCACCATCGGGTTTCACTCTGCCTACAGCCCAGCCTCTGAAGTCAGTTCCCGCCCACAGGAGCTTCTCGCCCTCCTACTGAAGTGCCGGGTGTGAGCCTAGCACTGTGATGGGAATTCCTCCAGACAGGCTCCACTGGGAACACAGAGCAGCATTCCAGGGCTCAGCAAGACAGCTAGACTTGGTTCTAAAACGCCTGTCACTCTGCCCTTCACAACTCCGCCCCCGTGACATCTCTTCTCCGGTCCCTCACACCCAAAGGTGAAATTGTTGGCAGCTTAATCACAGCCTTGGTTATGAGCATTTCCTAACGTGGGAGCCTCAGGTCACATTCAAGGACTTTATATGTGTCATCTTAGCCATCTCCCTGTGTAGAAACCGAGGTGTAGGAAGGTCACCCAAGATTCAACTGACTAGTAAGGGACAGGGGCAGGATTCCTACTCAGGCAGCTGTTCTTAGCCACTGAATTCTTCTGCCTCCTAGTATTTTTTTTTTAGCATTTGAACTATTTGATCCAATTTATGGTCTGTACTGTCATACAAATAAGCACTCATGCACATGAGCACGCACACAGGACTGTACTGAGGAGGAAATAGGAATTGAAGCTGTTACCATTTGAAGCACTAACTGGGGCAGAGTTTCCAGCATTTGTTGAAAATTCTAGAAAAGAAGAGAAAAGATAACGGATTATATCCAAAGGTCCTAAGACCAATGCTGTTGTCCCCACGTGCCTCTGGCTGCCCTGGTGACTGGGCACCACCCTCACTGGACACCCAATGGGGCAGCCTGGGGACAGAGATCATAGGACAGAGGTGTGAGTGGACAGAGGCAGGCACAGAGACTCTCAGGGCCTGTCATCTGGCAAGAAGAAGGGGGTAAAGGACTGAGCCCAGGCAACCCATCAAAGGAGGCCCTTCCTGTCCCACATTAACCCCCAGCAGGACTCTCAGCATCAGTCCTTCCTGAGTCATTAGGGGTGGGCGGGAGCACCACAACCACCCAGCCCCAGAGTTGATATGAAGTTACCAGTTATCCTCCAAGTTTCTGCCGGGTCTGCTGTTGTCACTGCTGTTGCTGAAAGTACAAAGAAACAAGGCCAAATGAGAGGTCCTCTGAAAACAAGAGTTATATCTGATACCTTGTTAACCAGAGCAGGGGAATGGGCTATGTCAGTCACATTTCCAAGGTCCCCTGCGCTCCTCCCTCAGTAATGAATTCACTCAGTGAATGTAGAATAATCTCTGACTACACATGAAGCATCAAAAGGCAGGGAGGAAGGAGAGAATTGATCCTAAGATAATACGGCTCGCAGGCTATGTGGGTGGCTGGCAATTGTTAATTTGATCTAGGCCTCAAAGGGGCACAGCGTAGGTGAGTGGGAACCTCAGAGGGGGCAACTCAGGAGCTTGGGAGAAGGGCAGCAGGAATCCAGAGAGACGAGGCTATTTCAGCTACACATGGAAGGAGGCCTAGACAGGTGTCAAGAGGAAATGCAGGACACCCAGTTAAGACTAAATTTCAGATAAACAGCAAATACTTTTTAAGTATAAGAACACCCCAAACATTGCATGGGACACACACTAACAAATTATTTGTTTCGTATCTGAAATTCAAACTCAGCATATGTTTTTATTTGAGAAATCTAGCATCTGTAGATGAAAGAGCAATAGAACACTCTCTTACCCACCCTTCGTTAGAGCCCATCCTCTATAAACCGGCAGGACACCCGTGCGACTGAGCCAATTGCTACACACCTGACCACTTCCCCTCCAACCAACCTCCTGTGAAAATCCAGAGTCAGGGCTGGGGCCCAAACCTGATCACCTCACTTGTTCTTGGCATCAAATTGAACGAAATATTAAATAACTTACTGAAATATAGGTGTAAAAAGAAATAAGTCTTCCTATAAAGACATAGTGGGATGCTTTGGAAAGACTAAATAAACTCAGTTGCTAAAAAGAAATCGGATGGGTGAGAAAACTACAAAAAGTAGAAGAAAGATGTATGAACAGCAGGGGAGCGTGTGCACTCATATTACTTTGTGAATCTTTTAAATTTCATGCTCCTCTTTAGAGAAACTAAAACCAGAGATTAGAGGTGATGCATAATGGATAGGGATTATGCAAGAAAGACGTTGCAGAAGTACAGAAAATCCCTACTGAGGGCGATGCCCACATCAACAAATTGGTGAGTCCAAGCCTGTTCATCATATGTTTTAAGTTAGAACAAGAAGTTGAAAGGGCATATGTATCATATTTTATGATTCCCCATTTAAGCAACTTCTTTTTTTTACATAGCCAGCCAACCTCTTGTCCTGGTCATGTTACAAAAGAGTCCTTCTAGAAGGATGGTTCCCCAAGGAGGTTCTGTGGATCAGCAACAGCAGCCAGCACCTGGGAACATCCTAAAACTGTGATTTCCTGGGCCTCACTCAGACTTAGGAGTCAGGAGCTTTGGAGGTGGTGCCCAGCAACACATGTCTTCTCAAGCACGCCCGATGATTCTCGTGCACACTGAGGTTTGAAAACCACTGTTCTGAGACATTTGTAAAGGAAACTCTAGCCCCAATTTCAAGAGAGTGATAGGAAACAATTCAGTCCACAATCACTTATTGGCCACCTACTGAATGCTCTTCCACCAGGCAGGGAGGATACTATTTTTAAATATTTAGTTACCAATGTTAAGACAAAAATAAGAAGCTAGGTACATGTTTATCAGCTTTCTGTTAGAAATTTCTAGGCTTAAAATCATAGAAGAAATCACAAAGGAAAACAGCAATAAATCAAATGTCATAAAATATAAAATATCTTATAACATATGCACAGAAGAAATCAAAATCCAAATTAAAAAGGGAACAACAAACTGAGAAAATATTTTTCACCAATGGCAAGTATATATACCCCAGTTAGAGAGAGAGTGAAAGACACGTGTGTAAGTCAGTACAGATGGCACTAACTTTCAAAAAGAGTGGAGCAAAAGACATAGACAATTCAAAGAAAAGGAACACCAGTGGCTTTAAAATGTTCACCTTCACTATAAGTAAAGAGATGAAAATTTAAATGACTGTAAGTCATTTTTAGTCCAGCAATTCAGCCAAAATTTTTGAACAATAATTTGAGAGCTAGTGAAAGCATAGAAATTGCTACTCTTGTTTTTTTACTGGTAGGGTAAGAACTGGTACATTACTAGAAAATAATTTATCTATGTGTTTTAAAAGCCTTAAAAACGGTCCACCCTTTGATTTAGTAACTCCACTTCTAATAATCCAGTCAAAGGAAATAATAATTTCTATAACGTGGACAAAGGTTCGTGGCCAAAGCTGACCTTCACAGGGCTAGCCACTATAGAAAGGCAACTGAAAGAACCTCAGGGTTGAAAACTTGTGGATGGCATATAAAAGGTTTAGAATATAATGATAAATTATGGAAAATGGTACATTAAACAATATCACTCGCATACATATAACTTGAAAGGACTATCCCACAATTTAGCAGTGAAAATCTCAGGGACCAGGGTCATGCTTTTTATTTTCTCCCCACTCTCCTCCAGTTCCTAGACTGTCTGCACTAGCTGTGCACTAAAAGTTGTGGTTCGGAGTTGAAGGTGGGGGCTGGGTGGCAGTTTATGTGGGCAGCAGATTCTTGTAGGCTGGGAAGGCATTTGGGTTGTAGAGTAAAGGAAGAGAACAAGGTTGGAAGAGAAATTGAAGGTAAAGGGACAGAATAAGGTTAAATGATGAGAGGAAGCGACAGAGGAAGAGGAAGATGAGAAGGCAGGGAGGAATCGGTATGTGTTTTAGGGAATGCCATTTGCCGGGCATTGCGCCAAGTGCTTTATGGGTAGCATCTCATTTTACTGTCACCAAATCCTTTGTGGGCACATTATTCCACAAATCTATTTTATAAATGAAAAATCCAAGGCTTAGAGGTGAAATGATTTGCCTACAGTCTAGTCCCATAGCCAGCGAGTAGTGACAGTGGTATCTGAGGTCAAGTGCATTGAGCTCCAGGGTAAGTGCATTATACAACTCTGCTGTGGTGCCTCAGAAATAATGAGGTTCCGTTTTAACTTGTCAAAAAAGCAAAACATTCTAAAACAGTTATACATGGTAATGGTGAGGATGTGGTTAATACTGTCCCTGATAGAGTGTTTAGCTCCCCTTAAAATATATACAAAGACACAGAAATACAGCCCAGGACCTGGCAGAGGCATGAAGTCGGTGACTCACAGCCACACCCACTTCCACCTGAGAGCCTGGTTGTGCCTGGAGCCCTCGTTGGCTCCATCCCGGCCAGGGTGAGCCAAGTCTTCCATCAGGTTCTTGGTGGTGCAAAGTACCACGCTGGGTTCTAAGTGAGCAAAGCATGGCCAGGGACTTCCAGCATAGCAGGACCCCTAAGAATATCTACAGATAATTCATACAAAAATTAAGCACTTGCTGAAGTGCTCTGGGAGAACATAAGTGATACATACCTTCTCTTATACAGACATATAGAATATGTCACATACAGATATAGTCACATATAGGTATGGATCTCTTAGGATGGTACAGTGTGTGTAAGTGCACACCTGTGCGTCTGTGTCTGTTTGTATCTGGGTGTTTACTTGTCCTGTCTGTCTGCATGTAATGGTATGTGTGTGTGGCTCTGCCTTTGTGTGTTTGTGCAATAAGTGTGAGTTTATGTGAGCATAGCTCTGTGGGTGAACACGTATCTGTGTGCATCTGGGTTTGTGTGTGCAGTGTGTGTCTGTGTGGGTATGAATGAGTGTGTCTCTGTGTCTGCATGTGAGTGTGTGTCCGTGTGTGTGCACCTGTGGGTCCATCTGTCTCTGTGTATCTGCGTCTGTATTTGTTGGTGTCTATCTGTATGGTAACCAGTGTGTCTCTGCGTCTGTGGGTTTGTGTGTGAATGTCTCTGTCTCTGTGTGAGTTGAGTGCAAGTGTGTGTCTGTGTGTATATCTGTGCTTGTGAGATATACGCCTGTATGTGAATACATCGTGTGTATATGTGTAAGTACGTCCCTATGTGAGTGTGCGTCTGCATGTATGTGTGTCACATATCTGCCTCTGTATATGTGTTTACGATTGTCTGAGTGTCTCTGAGTGCCTGTGTGTGTATCTATGCACAGATATATGTCTGTGGGTTTATGTGTATGTATATCCCTGTGTGTGTGTCTGTGTGCATGCCTGCATCCATGTAGCTATCCGCCTGTGCATATGTCTCTGTGTGAGTTTGTGTATCTGTGCTTGTGAGATTAATGTCTGTATGTGGGGTATGTGTAAGTATGTCCCTAGTGTGTGTCTGTGTCTACATGTGCATCCATGCATTTGTGTATGTGTGCACTTACGAGTGTGTGTGTGTGTGCCGTGCATGAGCGGAGCACAGATGTCAGGGAGAGATCCCTGCCTGGGACAGCGTCCGTGGATTTAAGCAGAGCCGCTGGATTCAGCCAGGGGAGCGGGGAGGGGCAGGGGAGAGTAAGAATAGACTGTTCTCTATAGCAGTAAGGGAACAGCAAGCGACAAATGACCATGACCAGAGGCAGCGCTACCGCAGTTCAGGAGGCGAGACGTGCAGCTTGTATACAAGATGGTGAGCTGCAGGCTGTCCTGGGAAACAGGCAGAAGTAAGACCGGGGCAGAAAGCAGCAAGAAACGTGCAGGGAGCTGAAACCCAGCGGCGTTGCCGGGCAGGGTGTGGGGAGACACAGCGGCACCAGGGGCGCCGTTCGGTAGCGCTGGGCAGCAGTGGGCGGCAGAGCGCCACGGCCATGCACAACAGAGTTGAAGAAAGGAGACGCTGCCGATCAGGGCTCAGACGTCTGTGTGGCCGCTGTTGAAGCGACCCAGAAAAGCTGCCCCGGTGCAAGTGTCACCCACATGGGAGATACCCTCACAACGCCTAAACGTCTCCCTCTTAAGGCATTAATCAAAAACACTGCTAAACTGCAGAAAGGGTAAGTCTGAGGATTAACAATCTGCCAGGAACTAGTTTACAAGCAATTATTACATTCTCATTTGGCAAAACATTTGCCTTGAAGAAGGAGCCAGAGGGAAGTTAAATTAACAATGGGGGAGTAGCTATATTAGTTTCTCAGAAAAGTAGCAGATAGGGCAGAGAGTTCCTGTATACCCCTGCCCCAGTCTCCCCTGAACACTGACATCTTAACGTCTGAGTGGTGCAGCGCTCACGCTAACAAACTTTCACTGGTATGTTCCTGCTAAGTGAACTCCAGGCTTTACTTGGATTCCACCAGATCTTTCTGTTCTAGGATCAATTCCAAGATACCACACTACATCTAAGAAGTTACATGTGGATAAAACCTGAAAACATCTAGACTAGGAACACTGGATGGTTCCCAGTCCCCTTCTCTGTGCCAGACACTGCATGGTGACCTAATTCCTCCTCAACCCTGTAGTTAGAATGTACCCCCTTTACTGAGGAGTAAACTGAGTCTTGTGGAGGCTGCACAGCTGGTAAGTGCAGTGGGACCCATAGCCCTTCCCTCCAGTGCATACCTGGGCATGCTGACTTTTTTCTCAGGAGTTAGAGCAGAGACCAGAGCTGACAGGAGCACCCACCCCTTGATACCCCAGCAGGAATCTCCACTGCAGGGCCCGGCACTGAGCGGAGCACCACCACCCATCTCCTTAGCCAAGGGGCCCGCACTGCTACCTGAATGCGAGCAAACCTCAACCCACGTTTAAATCCTGGCCCAGCCACTCATCAGTTGCTGTCCATGGACAAGCTGCATAACCCTTCTGAGCCTCAGTTTCCCCATTTGAGGTTAATTGAACCTAACTTTTGGGTTATCAGCATATTTAAATAAGAGAATAAAGCTCCCCTCTGCGGAGAGTTTCACCTCTAAACTGTAAACACAGGCATGCACGTGTGTGTGTGCACATGCACAAATGCATACACATGGCATCACGGTAAAACTACAGACTCCCTCAACCCAAGGGCACTGTGGCCTTTTCTCACTTTGTAGACAAAGACAGGGCAATTCATCCCCAATCTTTCAGGGGCTCATGTCACCTACCCAGAGCCCATCTGGAGGGTTAACTTTGTACCAGTGAAGTTGCACTAAGGACACTGCCTCCCATCTTCAAATAGTCTTGATGTCCCCAGACCACCCAGAGCTGGTACTCCCCAAGGTCCTCTGACAGGAAGGGAAGGAGGCCTCCTGGCCAGCCAGTGCCAGCCTCTCTACACACACTTGTCACCTGCTATGGGCCTGAGAGCTTGGTCCAGCATGCTGCTTTCATGAAAGCAATCTCCCAAATAAACCTTCATCTGCAGAGCTTCCCCACTGAGCCTTGGGGGAGAGCGAGAGCTCTGGGAAAATCAGGCATATTTTTACCCTGAAATCCATGAATCTAGTAAAAAGTGACACCAACAAAAGAAATGGGAGTGGGTTGAAAGAGAAGAAGGAAGAAATGAAGGAAGGGAAAGAAAGGAGAGGGAAGGGTGGACAAAAGAAGGGATGAACAGAGAAAGAGAGAGAGGGAGGGAGGTTAAGGAGACAGCAGATGCCAGGCAGAGGAGAGAGAGAGAAAGAGACAGAGAGGAGACAGAGTGAGTCCTTAAGGAGACAGAGAGAGAGAGACAGAGACAAAGGAAGACATACAGAGAAGATAGAGACAAAGAGAGGAGACAGAGATAGAGGCAGAAACAGAGAGACAGAGCAGGAGAGATACAGCAACAGAAAGACAGAAACAGAGAGAGAACAGGCTGTCCGGTGAATCGTCTTGTTTACTTAGTATCTCAGTAAAATGATGTAGAGGTGCCACAGTCACAGTGAGTTGCCAATGGCTCATTCATGCTCATCCCTCAATACTCTAAGAACGCCCAACCACGCTAGAATGACTGAGCTGCCCATCATGTGTCAGAAGTAGTGTGTGACAGGTACAGACTTAGGATCTCAAAGATCTTGTCTGTGCTGCGACTCAACTAATGTTTGCTGAGCAAAATTAGGTTTTCAAGGCAGACACACCTGCAGAAAGAAGTCACGTAATGAGAGGGAATCTTCACTGCCCATTTTCAAAGTGCACAAAATTATATGTTTCACCAATTACGGCCAGGTTTGAAGTCCTTTTAATAATACATACACACTTTTTCTAAATTTCAAGGATTTTTCTAAGACCAACCAATCATTTCTGTAGCTGAATGATTTACTGAAAACACTGGCATAATGATTAGCTTTTTCTAACTGCAACATATGTATTTCTCAGCCAAAAACAAAACAAAAAAGAGCCATTCCTTCTAACTACATGAAAACAGTCACAATTATCAGCAAATAACTGCTCCTCCCTTGATCCCAAGCTTCCCTTGGGATGGTAAATCGTAGATAGAATTTACCACAATTGGGCTTGCAGGAGTGAAATTAATGAATATAAAAATTAGACATAATACCTGTAGATAGAACTTGACCCAGTAAAAGACATAGTTCAAGGATGACCGTGGAGATCCCCATTTTGCTGGGTTCTTCTCAATTGAATAAAAACTTCCCTGGCATTTATAGGTTACTAGCTAAAAGGAGGTGTGTCCTCAGGGGCGGTATATTTCTCCTGCTGCCATAAATCAAGATACAAGAACTTTGCTAACAGTCAGTGGCTAATCTGTGGGAACAACTTAGTTGTATTTGATTGACTGCCATGTGAACAACCTGGCTATGGCCCAAGTGCAAAAGCTCTGACATTAGTATACAATTTCCAGCTTCCTTCTAGGTGAACCTTGAAGATTCCGAAGAGCTTCCTCAATGTGGACTTGATTTTAATCTTGGGAAGTTTGAATTCACATGTGAGGAATCTGCCCCCAAATTTGGGTCAGAGCCGGATGTGGGCTGCTAGACAAATACAGGACAGGTGCCAAGGGGCAAAGCATTTCTTTGGGATGGTTTGTCCTGCCAGGACATCCTCTCATTGGCCCCTGTACGTATAACCTCACCATGGAGTGACAAGCATGACATTAGCACAGATATGACCAGAGAGTGGAAGGCATCAGTGACAATTCCATGGAGACCATGACCCACACTAGCTTGGGCCACTGTCTTCAGGGTCTCACCCTAATTTCTTAACACAGGAGCTGAGAAATATGTGACCTCAACCTGAACCATGTCCAACCATTTCACACAGTTTCGATTTCTTGTCTTTGCCATTCACACTGTATGAGGCTGAGAGTTTGGTGAACCCACAATACCTACCCTGACCTCCGCCTACCTACTGTGCGCACAGCCCCTCTCTTCAGTTTGTTATGTAAATATCACTTCACTCTTTCAGATCCTCTGTTTTCATCACCAGACTGTGATAATCCCCGACAGTCTCCCAAGAAGGTTCTGACATTTATTTTTATCAAGACATTCTTGGAGCTTGGTAACTCCTGGTGAGAAGCAGACAGCTTTGCAGGACTTACTCTCCTGGCCTGGATAATCAGTGTCCTACCTTTCAGCTGAGACACTAAGGTTGCTGGGTGACACCTTGGCTTCCTTGCCATGTGCTGTTAATTGGTAGTTTCTGTGCTTCGTACCAGAAGGACACCATGAACCCATACCCTCTGCTAGCCACCAGCATTTAGAGCTAGAAGGTTGCATTTGGCTTCATCTAGATAAAAGTTACATTTAAGCTTTGGTTTCTTTTTTAATACTACACCTCCTCCTGTCATTCCCAAGTTCCACTTCTCTTCTTCAGGAGAACAGGTATGTTTTCACAGAGTAAGTTCACTGAATTTCATTCTCCTGCTATCAGTCCCACACTTGATAAGCACCAGGTGATGAGAAAACAGGGCTAGACATCTGCCAGGGAATGCTCAAGACCAGACACATACTGGACTCATCTGATAAGGGAATTATGACCACTTGATTCCTGGAGTACCAGGCTTAGAATGATTATGAAGCTGGGTCTGGAATCACCAAAGAAGAGTGTGGTAGATTAGTAGTTTCTGCCAGGAGCACAGTAGGGGAGAGTGCTATGGTGATAGATTATTAATGTCTGCCCTGAGCATAGCAAAGGAGAGTGCTGTGGTGATAGATGAGTAGTGTCTGCCTTGGGCACAGATGGGGAGAGGTCTGTGGTGATAGATTAATAATGTCTGCCCCAGCACAGAAGAAGAGTATGGTAAGAATACTGAATATCTGTGTATGAGAAGGCTTCAGAAGTGTTCTTCCCACGCAAAAGCATACTGTCTGGTCTTGGAGATAGACCTGCATGATGACAATCACAGCAGGGGGAGGTCAGTATTAATGCTAGTTTCTATGAGAGCATAGAGAAAAAGCATCTAAATCAAATAGACAGTTTCTCAGAGAAGATGGTGCCTAAACAGAGTCTTAAAATATAAGCAGAGGTCAGCCCTGCAAACAAGAGAAGCCTTGATAAGGAACAAAATGTGACTGCAAAGAGATAAGAACAGAGCACCAAATCTCCAGGAGACCACCAAGCCTCATCAGTACCGCAGCTCACAGAAACACCCTGCTTGGGAACTCTGTGCTGTTTTCTGAACCACACTTGACTTCTCTGTTTTTTTTGTTTTGGTTGCCCCATCCTCTCCCCTTGGTGGTTAGCAGTAAAGATCCTGAGACAACAAGGGCTTGTGAGCTTTTTGTTCAGGAGTCTCCAGGAAGAAGGAAGTGGAGAAAGCTTAGCTGTCATTTCAAAAGCAGCCCAGGCTGGCTTCTGGTGGGAAGTGGGTGATGTCAGTGGAACAGGAAGGATGTGGGGTCCTGGGTGTGTAGCCAGAACACACTGGGGCTAAGAGCCACCTGCCACCATTGCACAGGTCCTCAGGCTTCATTGCCAGCGATCCTAGCTTGTCCTAGGGCTCTTTTGTGGGTCCTGTCCTCAGACCCTGTCCAGAGAGAAGGGTTCCGCCATCCAGGTGGAAGCTACTGCATGAGGTTCTATGTACTCACCTGAGCCCTGTAGTGAAGACCGAGGAAGGAGAAGCCCATCGAAGCTCCAAGGCTTGGTGCCCACGCCCGGTCAGTAAAGCCCCTTCCCTAGGCACATGTGAGCCAGTGAGATTCCATACCACCAAGCCCTTGTTCTGGCACCAGAGGCATGGTTCTCAGAGAAAGCCCCCTCAGGGGACATAGGTGACTGTGGGGGAGTGCTCTGCCAGCTTCCCTCCCCTAGGGCAGAGCCGAGGGTTCCTTCCTAGAAGCCAAGCCCTCCTTTCATAGGATGGGGCACTGAAAGGCCCAGGGGCTCTGGGGCTGCCAAGCACACCTGTGTCCTGAGGCTGAGCTGGGGCTCTAGGCTGACTCTCCAGAGCATCTGATTATCCCCCTTCTAAAGATTGTCCCCACCCACAGACAGTGCCCTGGGAGGCTAGAGGAAGGAGAGTGCCTAAAGCAGCCCGGGGACCCCCAACTCTTATAGGGCTCTGATTTCTGAGTCCAAGGGCCCTGGGACTGCATAGTCAAAGGCTGTAGAGCTGGGGGGCCAGAAGAAGGGTTGGAAACCCCAAGGGGCAAGGGGTATCAGGACTGCAGCACCTTCCCACAGCCATCCTTGGCTTCTGGTCACTGGATCCCAGAAGTCTGGGTGATCAACCTTCCCGCCAGGGTCACTTTGACCTCAGACTCTAATTTTACTCTTTGAGTAGCACTGTAATTGCAGTCATTGTTACCACTGTAACAATCCTTGTGTGTCTGGTACCTGCAACGTCATTCATTTTTACCCTCAGAGAGCCAGTCTTCCCAGGGAGCTTACAGTGGGTCCATTCTGAGGACCAAACTGAGTCCCAGTGCCTCTCACTGCTCCTCTGTTATCACAGTGCCCCATGTAGGGGCCTGGTCCTTGAAGGCAGGCATCGAGAGCAGCCCCCATTCCAACAGCACCCACAGGGGCCCCCAGCTGGGCACTGAGGCCCAGAGGCTCACTAGCAGGCTAGAGGCTGCCTTCCCTCCTGCAGGTATTTCTAACCCAGCATCTCCTCTGGGCAGCCTTGCTGACTGCCCCTCCCCAGGACTCCCTAGCCCTTCCCACCACCTCTCTCTGTGGCATTTCTGCCATCTGGCCTTCTTCTATTTTACTTCTTTATTCTTTTATCTTTATTCTGCTCCCACTAAAATGCAAACTCCACAAAGCAGGAGTTTTGTCTGTTGCCATATCCCCGGAACCTAAAACAATACTTGGCACATAGTAGGTGCTCAAGAAAATATCTGCAGACTGACTTGACCAAATAAGCATGCGCAGATCTGGGAGAAGAGAACCAGGCTTCTTAGCACAGATGGTTCCGGTGAGTTCTGCACTAACTAGGTGCCAGCCACATGCTGAGGATCGTGCTGTTCATTCATCCGCTCATTTGGCAAATATGCACTCATGTCTTTAAGGCACCAGACACTGCTGTGGGGAGCAGGGCTACAGCCTAAAGCCAGACAGACATGATCCCTGCCCACATGGAGCTTATAAACTAGGGCAACACAGACAAAACAGTAAGTAGAAGTATTTCAGGCCATGTTAAGAATGACAAAGGCAACCAAGAAGGTGATGGAGCAGAGCCTCTCTGTGGTGGGGAGAACTACTGGGATAGGGCGGTCAACACATCACATTAACACAGTAACTCTCAGTTATGAGCAATCTGAGGCTCAGAGAGGTTAAGTAAGTTACTCAAAGTCACATGACTAGAAAGTGGCAGAGCAAAAGCTTGACTCCAAAACCTAGGATTTTTCCACTAGACTCTGAATTCTTCCCTTTTCTCCCATAAGACTGTTTTCATCCAAATGGTAAGCCTGAGTCCCCTCCACCAAAGGACATCTTGATACTCAGAAATCATCAAAGGAAAGGGTAGGGAAGGAAAACTGCCTCTGCAGTCATCAGGACACATTATTTTATTTTGGATTAATAGGAAGGGACATGTGATTGAGTTACATTTCTTGCATTGTAAGGTGAAATCTGAGTTGTAGTTGAGCCCTTCACCCAGCAGGTGTGCCCTATACCCCTCCGTGTACCTATTATGTGGGAACAGAATAGTCCACACAAAAGATGCTAAGTGGCCTAGTCCTGAAAAAGCAAAGGCGGAACATTAGCAATAGCTGTCCTGGACTTAGTCTAACGTGACTGAATCATGTCTGCTTGCAGTCTGAGGGTGGAGTCCCCAGTCTCTCGCTATGCCCCCATTTTTCTTTCTCTCCCCCATGCTCAGCTCCCAAGAGCCATTTCTCCTTCAATTGTCACCATCCTTCTAAAGTTGTTTTACAACTCCTTCCCATTTGGGCACTTGAAGCTGGTGAAGCCCTCTGTACCCCTCCTCAGAGGTTAGTGTGACCAAGCAGCAAAACCTCAAGAGTGAGAGACCAAGGACAGAGGGAGGGGAGGCACAGGCCAGCGAGTTCAGCCTTTCGATTCCACACAGCCCAGAGCCATCAGTTCCCAGGAAACCCAGACACACTAATTGCACTCATCAGATATTAACTGGTAAACCAGGAGGCCACTTCGCTGATTTACAAGAAGCATATACTTTGGCTCCAGAATGAGC